GTAAAACCTGTCTTTGACGGTGTCAGAGCTACAGTCAGTTGGGGCATAGGCAGACACGATAAACAGACATCTAACTTGCCGCTTGTGAGACTCCTTCACAGACGTTGCCAGACGAACCGCACAGAGGCGACTATCAACATGTATCCAGTCAAGTAAGGATACTTCTGCCCGGTGACTTAGCACAATATCAACCCCTGCTCATCCCACCGCAGCAGCCTCCGGATCACCAGAGGTGCGCAGACTGAAGCGAGTGGAGACTGACGGGGCGGTTAACTATTCGTAGCATTCGAACTGAATGGTACAACCGTGAATGGTTGACAGGTGCGCAGAGATACGGGGAAAGTTAGTTTGTGCCAAGCGAGATAGTTCCATGCAGGTCAGTAATAACGGTTTCATGACAAATACGAGTCACATCGAAAAAAAGAATAATAGTGACCTTTTTCAACGAGTCCTCAGGCGAACTTTGGTATGATACCGAAAGGACAGTGAATAGAGCTCAGATATTATCATTCGATACGATGCACATCTTTGCTCGATATACCAGCATCAAGATGGTTTTCAGAGAAATAAGACAGGCATCCTCATCCAACAGTGGACGTTTATTCGTAATATCACAAAAATGACACGCGACATAGTAACGAAGCTAAAAATATAAACCGGGACACCATTAGTGCACATGGATGAACGAATAACTAAGCTTACCGTGATGCAGAGTTGGATAGACCCATTTTCCGTGTGAGCTAAACAGCCCAGAAATCGTGAGCGTCTGTTTCCTGTCCCAATCAACTGTCCACCATTTCCAGTGGTTTTGATGCCGACGGACCCAACCGCATGCGAGATCATAGTAGTGAGTTCGTAGCTGAGCGACGGATGCAAACTCTCGGGGTGATCGAGTCTACATGAATACCACATGCAGAATCAACTTCTTAAAAATTGCATTGACTTCATGAATTGAAAATTGCAAGTGAGCATCATTCTAACAACATATCCAAATATTGATAGCTCGGTGCGTTAAGTGGTCGTAGATCGGGTGGTTATCGACCTGTTAACCGAACCTCGCCATTTCTGTGTAGATGTTTCGTCGCCAATTGTGACGACATTACCCGTGCGCGGTTGGATCCTTACGAGTGGCGATGAAACATCTGCAATAAAACTGTCAAGCTCAGCGAACAGATCAATAACCGCCTGATATCTAACTAACCATGACCTTTATACTTGCTTACCTGAGAAACCTTCAAGGGATAGGACTGGCAACCTGGCTCCTATGATCAAGTGCTACCATTAACACCACGAAACCAGACTGTATGCTTGAGGAGGCAGTACTTTGTCACACACTAAATTGTATTATTTTGTTAAAGTTAAGTTCCGTTCAGCTGTAGCACCCTTTCGGTGCCTAGACGCCGTGCCACCCGGAAGAAGCACGAGGGCTGGGACACTGTCAGGTTGCCCGAGCCTAGATAGGGGAAGTCGAGAGGCAGAGGTCAAGTTCGAACCACGAAACCTTCCGTCAGCGAATTCGCGCTCTAACCACTTGAGCTATCTCACCCTTGTTAAGTATACACATATGTATTAGCAGACCTATCTACGACACTACATGGAAAAGTAAAATAAAATAAAAATAAAAAATAAATAAAATAAAATAAACAAATAAGTAAAATAAAATAAAATAAAAATAAAATAAAAATAAAATAGATTGGTCGAAATCGGCTCACAACAAGGATGCCATTGGTATAGATTTTATTTCACTTCCGAAATTTTGTTTAACCAATTACAAAGGCCACTAGAGATTTCTAAATAGACAGTCGAAATTACCCAACTGACCACAGGCGGACAATGGTGACATTCATTCGCGTGTACCCAGTCTTCTTGCTTGACGGTTTTAATCTACTTCGTGGCTTCCGAACCGTGCTCGGCGAGGTATGGACGGATACGTCCTATCTGGCGCAGTGACTGATTCACCAACGCTGAGTCCACGGAACGATAACCGTTTCGGATCCCGGAAACTTGCGGATGAACTTGTGTGTGTGTGTGTTGCTCACACGTTGATCCTACCAAATAAGAGCAATGTTTCGTAGGTAGTGACGATCAAATGTGATCAGTCTGTTGAGGTTTTGAAACCCGTCAGCATAAGCCCGACATCTACATTGCAAGTGCAGCACATTTTGAAGCACCATGGACGGACTCTTTGAATCCAGAACTAATGTTCCGGTGATACGACAGGGAACGAAGGTTCACATTAAGAGATGTGCCTTGACAGTGCAAGCACTGATCTTGTCATTTATACTACAAGAGCTGAAGCCACTTGCGGTACAGATCGTAATTTCGTTAATCGTCGTCTGTATTGTCAGACATCAATCTCTAGTTCCTATATTGTATGGGCGAGATGGAGGAAGTGGTTAGAGCAAGAATTTACTGACCGGAAGGTCCGTGGTTCGAACCCGACCTCTGCCTCTCGACTTCCCCTGTCTAGGCTTGGGCAACCTGACAGTATCCCAGCCCTCGTGCAACCTTCGGGTGGCATGGCAGTTAGACACCGAAAGGGTGCTACAGCTGAACGATATTGTATCAATCACATATTGACAAGGCCTTCCTGGTCTGTGAGTGGAGGATGAGCAACATTTGGTTTCCAGATAATAAAGTCATATAAAGTCATATAAAAAGTCATATATAAAGTCATAATAAAGTCATATTGACTAAAAATGTTCGGTCACAGGCCCGAAGTAATTTTGTCTTCAAGGTATAGAAAAACAAATCAGCAACTAAAACGGCGACCATGTTTTGGAGAGACCTGAAGGAGAGGGAGCGAGCTACAGATGGCAGAAAGCGGAAAACCTTGACGCACAGAAATGTTCGAACACCGACGGCTGCAAACGTGAATGATTCGATCTTGTGCAGGACCGGAATATGGAGTTCGAAAGGAGGATATAGGAAAGGGTTCAGTTGCTTGGATAAGCCGGAAAAAAGATCATCGGATGAATATTATAATGAAACCCCAATGTTGGCATAGCGAGAATAAACTGGGTTTGACAAAGTAAAACCCACCGCATTGAGCAAACCATCATATTCCGCTTGAGTCAGGTTCATCCGGCTAACCAGCTGATGAATTAGTGGGACACTTCGCTGCAGTTTCGCCCATGTCAGCTTCGTAGCTTGTTGGGCTTCAAACCGACAGTAAGGACTGAAAAAGTTGGTCGATGGAGGTTGCCAATCCTGTGTTGTCGAAGACTGGCTTCCAAGGCGGTCACAGTTCCGCACTGGATCAACTCCATTCATGTACCAACTGACAGACAGCATTTTTGCAGTGGCATCTGGATCGAAAATGAAAAGAAAAGCGAAAATGAATTACTATAAAGAATAAGCTATCAGACACTAGGAACAACGTAAGAATAGCCAGGCGGCAATAGTGCGTTCAGACAAAGCCAGTCATCCAACGTTGATTGCGTCCCGTAAGAAACATGACAGCATAATACCGACACAGTGATATAACGCGCACAGGACTGTCGTGTCTATCAGTGTTTGTACTAGCGCACAGACGTTGTCTACGAGTGCATAGACACAGCACTCCACCGTACACATCGATACAGCAAACATACATTTACACACAGGAATCAACAGGCGAGAAAGTTAGCAAAACGACAACTACTAATACAGCACAAGTAGGGCGCGCATCTGATGTTGACTAGGCAGACTGTGTGTATTGTGTGGCGTGCACCCAGCACGTGACCACCCAACTTAGTGGCGGGTCTATCAAGTAACCTCCGTTGCCCCTTGCTCGAATGCGGACAGCATAAAAATCGGTACATCAGACAAACCACGATTAAATTGATTGGAAAGTGCAGAATTCGCCTCCATGACCGTGGCGCATGACATTTTGTGAATATGGAAGTACGCTGAATGGGTAACTAGGTGGGTACAGGAGGGGATAAATAAAGCGACGGATATTCGTCCCATTTGTGGCCTTCGTTCTTCAGGGGGTCATGAGTCAGTTTGCGTCCTAATATTGATGCAAGGGCATGACTATTAGCCCTTGTGGCAGATTGGTAAAAGAAACGCGTTAAAAAACACCTGCAAAGACGAATCCTGGTTTAAAGTCTCTCGATAAAGGACGGCCCTCAAACCAAAAGCAGGAACTGTTAGGATTAAGTGATATACACTCGTGTAATTGTACAGCCGTCTTGCCTTTCTTTCTGCTTCTGCTGACTTCCCCAGAAACGTGCGAGTACCTTGCGTGTTTCATATTCCGGACGTGACGCCTGTGGTAATTTTTTATGACTAGGACGGATCGTATGAGAAAGTGTGACCGATCGGATCGCTTGTGGAAAATGTTATAAATCAGGCGATTGGAATAAGGATGGTGAAAGTGATTAAACGTAACAATACCGAAGAACGAATCCCATGCTTTTTGCATATTCCAGTGAAACAGGATGATAATGGTGAGTGCTTTTCGCAACTTCGTACGAAGACCAGTTGGTCCCCAGTACTGCTAACTGGTGTTCCCCTGCTCAGTAGCGACAATGGTATCAGAAAGAACCACATGTCAATTTCAGGAATTACCAAAGAAATTTGAGACAAGCTTTCCCTCAGTAGCTGGATACTATACCACTCAACCACGAACGGCTGATCGGCAGTGAATAACTTGCACTTAGATTTCTGATAAGCATCCACAAACATGAGATGGCTGTACGGTACTTCTCGGCTTTTACGTGCACATTAAGCCGCTACGTACAATGTCAAACTGAGAGCAATAGTTTCCAAGTTTTGCCATTTACAGCATCCGGAAAGAATATTACTCGAGCCGCAGGGTCGTGCAAGATAAGTAGTATTTGTTCAGACATTTGATCCACACTGCTTCCGCTGAGTTTTAGCAATCACACAGATGACTGGTGTCCCCAAAGATTCGTGCGTAAGTCGCCAACCAATCAGGATCGCTGAAGCGATAATTAAGCCGTATGGAGTTAAGGTGGTGTTGTGGTGGTGTTTTCCAATCTCTACCTCTGTCGGCGAAAAGCAAACATACCCTTGGTAAACGATTTATAGCCGATGAACTAAACTGAACTGCACTATCCTCTAAGGATAGATACGGCAGATTCAGATCCCATCACGATCATGGACGTAAGGCTATTTCCCTACGCATTAACAGGAGCGCAGAAGATAGTTATTCTACTTTGAAGCAAGCAGGATAACAAACTCCCACTGATCTTCGTTGTGGACTTGCTTAACATTGATGTGTGCAGTGTGCCAGAAACAACAACTCAGGATGGATGCATGCGTTGAGCAAACTGCTCCATCATTCTTCACTCGTTTCCAGCTGAGCATCACATGGAATCCAGAAATCGATGTGACAGGATTTGCAACGGTCGGCATCGTCAACAGTACCCAGTTAGAAGGATCCTTGCTTAACTGAAAACCCATTGACGATGGGGTCGATTCCGTCTTCATTTTTCAGGGCCGGGTAACGAGTGGACAATTAGCATTGCAACTGAGTGCCTGGTAAATCCCGATGTTAGAATTTTTCAGAATCGTCTTGTGGATTCTATTCCAACTGCTCCACCGTCGGATGGGAATTCATGCTGGAACGTGATGGCTGCATCCGTGTACAGTGCCTCGAGTTTCACCTGTGACACTTCGTTACCAGATTGGCTCAATCATTGGATATCGGACAGAACGGTAGCACTGCCCGATTTTGGGAATGTTCCTTTCGGTTCTGAATGTAGTTAAGCCCGAGGATTTATCGGAACCAAGTCAAACTTAGTGTACGCGCTCACCATGAAGCCTGGTAGACACAGTAGGCTAAGCAGACGGAAGGAGTTGAGAAAAGCGTGAATGCGTGGTGATTATTTCGACTGATCCTTACCATCGGTCTTCGGAAATATCCTGTGAGCGAAATCATCAAGGGTTAAAGTTGCTCGACAGTCCTCATTAAAGGACACACCGACTGCTGAGCCGCGCAATTTGAACCACAATTTTCGCGGCCACTTTCTAACACTGATCTGAATACTGCAGTTGCAACAAAAACATGAACGCAGAACCTAGAACCTTCTACGCCCTCGAAGGTTTATGGCTTCATATATTCTCTGAAGCGCCACCGAGCTGCTGGTCGCGACCACATGCTACCCACACTGTGCAACGAAGGAGTTGGAATCCTCAGTCTGCTTTCGTCTGATGTATTTGTCTGCATCTGAGGGGAAGATGACCATCCCAAACACATGGGGAGAGTGGATACTAGCGCCCATTTTCAAGAAACGAACTCACAGTTTGTGCGGTGACCAAAGGGCGGTCAACCTGACTCCAGCTGTCGCTGGGATTTTAGCGTCACTTGTCCTCCGGCCGTTTATGGTGGCCCGTGTTACATTGACTGGAAAACATCTACAGTACGAGCTGTTTTGTTTTCTGAATATGGCACCTGGCATTTTCGGGTGTCAGGACGGCGACAGCTTAACGTTTTCGACAGCCATCGTCTCAGAACCATGGCTTGTGTGGGCGAATCCGCAGCGACACAGTAAATGAGAATTCGGTTGTGCGACCGGCTCGAAGAATGTGCTTAGTAAGAGAAGCTCCGGTGGTGTGATCATGTGTTGTGCAAACCGTATCGAAGTTCCCTGAATCGGATGCTGATTTTCGGGCGCATTTCAGAGTGGTGCAAACAGAAAGGTAAGCAACCGTTTACCCGGCCGTGGTAAAAGTCTGGATACTGTTGGCACGACTCGCCTTTCGAGATGCCCGTGCGATCCCCCTAAGGATAGTTGGAAACGGTGCAACATATGCGTGCTAATCGATGTCAATGGCTTTGTTTTCGTCAGTTTCTGTCCATTGTCTGACTGAGTATGTGCAGGTGTGTGCACCTTGGAATGATTATGATGATTTAGAAGTGAGTCCCGCATCCACTCTTATTATTTCCTTCGCAATAAGGCTTGCAGAAAAGCGTGAATGCGCGGTGATTATTTCGACTGATCTTTACCACTGATCTTCAGAAACACCCTGTGAGCGAAACTATCAACGGTCAGTCAA